TAACGTCAGCTGTGAAGCTCGTGACGGAGGGGTGAGCGAGTGGGCGGAGAGCGCCGAGCTTTCATGAGCGCATTAATATTTGATGAGGGCGTCTTTGAGAAGCCCTCCCTGGCAGGCAACAAGATGGGAACGTCTCGGAGTAAATAGTCATCAAAATAATTCAGAACGCGAAACTGATTATTTGCAGACTGAAATTTAAGAAAGCCGAGAACGAGTGCATTACCCCAAGCAAATGGAAACATTCACAGCATTTTTTTGTGATATAATGAGACCACTAAAGGGGGTGATAAAGGAGACATATCCTGCCGAGCTCTCAACTGAGCAAAAAAATACAGACTATTTATCGTGCTTCTCACAGAGATTCAGAGTAAATTTAATTTCCCCCCTCATCATTTCATGGTTGACAGCTTAGTGGCTTTGCTCAGTCAACTATTTTCTGCCAAGGCAGTGAAGTCGTTTGAGTGGTGTCAGCTTTTCAAGGTGTTCAGTTGTGCCTGCGATGTTGGTTACCTTCATAAATCACAGCAAGGAGTCTGAAGCAGCATTCTATATCTGTCACAAAATAAAGGTAAAAAAGAAAAAAAAAAGGTTTGAAAGTGACAGATTCTACTTGACAGTTTCTTTTAACTCAGTGGAGATCAGCTGTTTTAAATCTGCATGACTATAGTGGCACTGCAAAGTTGCTGCTTTTTTGTATACGTTGGATGACTTTTGCCTTAAAATGTTAAGCTCCAGGTATACCTGGTCATAGGTATGAGTCACACTGCAGTTCAGGAGTTTTCATAATCAGCCCTGACTCATCCCTTAAATGTCCTCCCCTGAGCTCTTCCCAAGGTGTGATGATGAGAACTGAAAGTCTTGGCAGACCTTCTGCAAATCTAATTAGCAGCGCAGATGTCAAGTCTCCCCCAACGCCATCACCGTGAGACTGCCAATGTCACCATTAGTTCCGCTCCTCGCGTTAAGGTGTGAAAGAGACAGACAGTTTACTGGGCAGCCGATGTCTACTGTGACCTGGCCATTCGCCGGTAAAACATCAAGATCTACATGGTATGAGGAAAATGCACGGGACTCAGAAATGAAAAAATGTAAAATACGTGATTTAAATAATCAAAGGGATTATTCTCTGTAATTTTACTTTTTTTTCTATGGAGCTAATGTAGAGCTTTTTGTCTGAAGCTTGAGACTAAGAGCAACTTTATGTTCAATCAACTCCTTTCAGAAATTCTATATGGTTCTCAGGAACAGTTTAATGTACTTAATGTGTTTCCTTTCCTTTGTCCTAACCTTTTAAATCAATGTTCTCATAAGTACATGGAGTGATTTACCAATTCCATTCTGAATTTAAACATGATGGTGCTTTCTTATCTTTGCCTCATCTCATCTTTTCACACCACACTTCTTAGCTGATTAGGGTGTCACATAATGAGTTTCCAATAATTATCTTTTTCACAGCATTCTATTTCTCTGAGACATTTAATTTGGTGTTTTTGTTATCTCCTAGCCATAATCATCAAAATTACAAAAAGGCAAAGGATTGGAATATGTCACTATGTGACACATAATACAGCATATGAGTTTCTGAGATGACTGGTAGGAAATATTTAACTTTTTTAACTTTTTAAGGTGTGTTTTACATCACAAATTCTTAATCCCCAGGGTTCAAAATGTGAGGAAATGAGGCAGTAGTAATTTTTCATAGCACTTTAAATGAATCTGCTTTTGCAGTTGTGTAGTGTGAAACCTTTTGTAGGCTTTTGTTTCATAACTCATAACTCCAATATTTTAAAAGTACTTCATTTCATATCTTAACAGGATGCAAAACGCCAGAATCTGTCAAAAGAACGTTCTCCTTCAAGTGCCACAGGAAAAATGACCGTTCTCTTGCTTGTTGTGTGTTCCTTTTTTTTGATCCTACCTTATCCTGTCTCCCATATTTACAAGACGCAGTGTTTCCAATAAAACCAGATTAGCAAAGTCAATAAAAATAATAACAGTCTGAGTAGTACTCTGTGTGAGGTCCATAGCAGACATATCCTGTGTGAGTAAATGGAATACAATACAATTAGGCCAACTTCCTTTTGGTTCCATTTTCCTGTGGCTCCTTGTTTTCCACTAAATCTACGGATGACATTTCAGACCAAACACGTTTCACAGCTGCAACCATTTTTCTTTGGATGCCAACAGTTTCTGGCTGAAGGAGAGGGAGCGTGACATCAAGACCCATCCCACTAATACGTTTTTATTTACGGTAGTTATTTTATCATCAAAACTACTATGTCAGAGATTATTAAAAAGGAATGGATGGTACCAAAAAGTGTAGCATTTTTTGATGTAGCTTCTATTAGTCGTTTAAAGTACAATTAAAAAAGAATCTTAAAATCCATTAGGCGCCACTGGAAGTTGAAGTTGTAGTTCATTTTACATGCAAATACATTATTTGAATATCAAAATGACACAGGGGCTCGTGGCTGAAAAGATTTGGGAGGAACTTTGTTTTTGCCCTTGTCAACAGAAATGTTATCAAATGTTGCTGCACATAGTGTGCTTTAAAATCACAGCCAAGCAATACCTTCAAAACTGTGGCAGCACAGTCATAAATGGTTCAAATATATTATAATCAACACATGCATTCTACAAATACTGATAGAAATAAAGAGATACATTCTCAGCGCAAAGATATTATGTAAAATAAGAGCAGTAGTTTATGGCAGGGAACTAGAGTCGCTCAATAACATATCAGATCAGAACACTGATATTTCTGACTGATGCTTCACATGACAGCAAATCCCCATTCAAATGGGGTCATTCAAATTTTGACTTTGAATGACTCTGCAGGGTTCAGATAACTCATAACTCTCATAAAACTACAGTCTTTTAGCCGTCTTTCTATCATAACAGAACCCACAATCTTTTGTTTTGTTCAATTTGTGACCCAGTGGATGTAAAGTCCATATCACGTGACGCAAAGCTGTCAAGGATTATACAATAAGACGTAAAGATATAAACCTCTATGGGTTCCCCTCCAACTTAAAGAAACAAAAGAGAGCTTCTCATGCTTGATTAAAAGAGAACAGCAAGAGGAGGAAATGTTGGACATAATAATAAAGGTCATAAGTATGTAACAGAATGACACATATTTACATTGAATTAACCTACAGAGCATGTTTGAGTCTAAAACCATGTATTACCTCAAGAAAACTTATTCTTCAGGGATGACTGTAAATATAAAATCTAAACCCTCGCTTCACTTTGTCAAGCAACAGTTTCAGTATAGAATATTGGCCATTTGTTACATGGATTTTTTTTTAATAATTATTAATAGAAGGGAATTTCCTAATCTTTGCAGAATGCATTTGTTTCAAATGTCTGTCAGTTTCAGACCTTGTGTCTGTGTTTCACTCTGCGTGTAGGGAGTTATTCCAAGGCTTTAAACATCTGTGGGCTTACCGAGTGAAAGACATCGCTGATAAGCGTGGCTAAGTATAGCTCTAATGATGGGCCACATGCAGTGGCTGTGGAGGGCAAGGAGGATAAAAGAAAAGTCAAAGTCAAGTGGCTCAAGTCCACAATGTCGCAGCAGATGAAAAGTAACAAAATGGCCAAACATGCAGAGAGGGATGTCTTCTATGCCATCACATGTCCCATTTGTCAAGATTGAGCATATAATTAATTAAGATTAGGGAGCCATGAATTTGCATGGAGCAAGTAAAAATAAAATTTCAACAACAGGATGTTTGCATGTAGCCAATTGTCTGGGATGCTGCTTAACCTCAACCTTGCTATGTGGTGAGTCTAAGCCTCTTTTGAACTTCTAGCACTGTCAAAACAAATGACTTCACACATCTCCCTGCTGTAAAAAGGCCCCTCTGAGCATGATGAAAGCACATTTAGACCTCCTATCAGCCTGAGGGGAGCCCCTCCTGGGCACCATGCTGTCTTGGAATGACTGCAATGCACAGAGTAATGAGATGTGTGTGATTTCACACGTGGTCACATAGCAGATATGAGGACTGTGAGAGGGCAACAGTGCGTGAAACACACAGAAAAGAAAAGTTATGCACGCATTCTGAATTTGGGTGGTCGTTTTAAGACATTGTGGATGGTCAGCTGCTGCTGATGCAATTAGCCTGTAAACACACGCTCAGCCTTAGGTGGGTATTGCCAACAGGTGCCTGTGGAAAACACACATGGGTTTGCATGTAGGAGCATGTGCAGCTGCCCTAATCTGGGAGAAACCACAGGTGTCCATCTCACTTAGTTGCACTGTACTGAAAGCCCGTGGCGCTTTGCACTGTCTGGTCTGTACATGTTGCCGCTTTAAATGGAGCACACATGCACGCTCAGACGCTACATGGCACAGGCTTGACTGACAACAACTTCAGCTGTGGTGTAAAAATATGATCATGTGGTATTAAAAACCCTGGCTAAAATTTAACGTCTGTCTGCTGAAACTTTATGACTGCGTGAGTCATCATCACTCGCCCTTGAGTCCTGTGACATATGCCCGGCAGCATTTACAAAGCCCTGAAAAATCAAAGCCTGACACAAGGTAGAGCATAATTTTAGACGCGTATACAAATATTAATCTGAGCAGGTGCATTCGCCCCATTTACTCTGATAACACAAAAAAAAAACTGCCATTAAACTCTAATTAGTAGTCTAAGTGTGTGATTTAGGTCAGTATACAAATACAGCTGCTCTGAATAGAAGTTTCCTTGAAACAGACAAAGTCTTTAACATTCCTCCCATTTCAGATTTGCAGAAACAAATTATTATTTCTCACGCTTCTAAAGGCTTAGCCGACCTCATTCATGAAACAATGACTTAATGCTATGACTGTAGGGGGGGAGGGTGGGTTGACGATGCAAGAAAACCCATCAGCCTCATTGGACAACCAGGTGGATGAACACAGTGATAAACTTTGTATCGAGCTATCATTACCAGAACATATTTTTTGACTGGTACAGATCAGATCTACAGTGTGTCTGGAGACTTACCTTAATTATACCTCCAGCATGGCTCCCCATCTAACTGCGAGTAAGCAGTCCGGATGTTTTCTTGTAAAAAGCATGAGGTGAAAAAACAATTAAAATACAAATCTGCAGCGGAAGTTACTCTCTGACTTCACTAAAGACGTGCTGTGATGCAGTGATGAAGTTGCTGGCCTGCAGAAGTTAAAGCAATCACTATCAATCAAATCAACCCAACCACATTGAAGTCGTAAAGAAAGTATGGTTGTTATAACGCTTACTCTTGTGAAGCAGCTTGTGGGATTTTTTTTTTTTAAATCAAAAGTTCCCCTCAAATGATTTCAAAAACACGACGCGGCGACAGATTCGCGATCCTCTGGTTGTCAGCTGACAGCCGCTAAATGGACCTACAGTGGAGGTAAGTAGAGCGAAAGAGGAGAGACTGGTGGTAAAAGCAAGAGTTGTAAACTCAGACGAAATAACAGCGCTGTGTTATCCCAGCAAACGCTGTACAGCAGCGCCGGGGCTCCCCCAAGCAGCAGCGGCAGTTTCTCATTCCGACATCCGCCCTCCTCTTCGCTCTGCTGGGCGGAGCTTGGAGCTGTCTGCCCGGGCGCGCTAATCTGACAGCTGACGGGACTAATGGGACTGTGACGCCACAGTTTTATGTTATTTATTTATTTATTTTTGATTGTTTGTTTTTAGTTTTTTTTTTTTTTTTTTTTTTTTTTTCTTGAAAGGCTTTTTAGGTCCAAATAAATATCACATTTATTTGGACCAAAAGTAAACGCATCATGTTTTGGACATAGCCTACTTTTTAATCTTGATTTGTTTTGTTTTATTACATTTTTTTTTACATTGTTGCTGCAAAATCAACCTCACGAATGAGTTCGTTCCAATTTGTAATAAATGTATTATTATTATTATTATTGTTTATTATTAATCAAGTATTTCATTGAACTTCTGTACTTATTCATGCATAGATAATATTTGTTCCGATTTTTATTTTTACTCCAAAGTAAACAGCAAAGTTGTGATTTGTTTTTGTCAGATTCTCTTTCATTTTGTTTTGCAGCCAACAAAAAACTAAAAGAATTCTGTCTTCGAATTAATATTTATTTCTGTATTTATTTCATCAAATTTATTTTTATTTAGTTCCAGTTTAAAGTAACAGAACTGACTAACTTTATTAAAAAACAAAGGAAAAGAAAAATATTTTGGGGATATGACACTAAATGTGTCAATTTCTTGTTATTTCTATTTCATTATCAGAAATCATAAGAATGTTGATGTGAAAAACGGCTTGTGTTGTGTCTCTAATTTAATATTCAGAGCTTTCTGTGCACAAACCAAGTTTACTATGTCTCCAAAATATTTTATAAAATATTCTAAAAGCAATATGGGTCTAAAAGCCAGCCGCCAAAATAACTCAGAGAACAGAATGAAAGTAAAACTACAGACAAATGTTGACTTTAGATTTCTCCTGCTTAGCTGTCGTTCATAAATAGAACCACTAGAGGGCAGTATTGTAGTTATTTTGCCAGCCATAGCTCAGATTCTCAGTATCCTGCTCACATTCCTTCCTTTTAGTACCATGTTTCATGCTTCTGACAGTCTGGGATACATTAAAGGTTTAAATGTAAAAAAAAAAAAGAGAGAAAAAAAGAGAGAGAGAGAAAGAAAGAAAATATAGCAAAAAGAAGTGTGTTCATAAATCACAATGTGGACCAGTCCCAATTGCAATAAATACCATCTACCTCTCACAAAACACTTCTCCTCACTCTCTGGAAAGAGAGCAAACACACGTCAAAGCAGAAAAAAAATTATATAGAGCAAAGATGTGAAAATGTCTATATGTTGATGGATCAAACAGAAGAAAGACAAAAAGTTTCAACACAGCCTGAAAGGAGGAGGTGAGACACAGACAGAAGAGAAATATCTGGAGACAAGGTGAAGAAGAATAGCAAAGGAAAGGTGAAATAGGGGGTCCTGGTAAGTTTTTCTATTTCTCTATTATCAAAGTAGTGTAATAAGAAAGAAATTCAACTATTTTATTATTAAAATAATCTTCCACAACTAAAAGTCAAGAGTTCTCTAAATGTGTAGCAATGCCCTCCTTAAAATCACTTTTGGTGGTCTTCTGGATCCTGAGTGTGTCTTTGTTCTCTACTGTGTTATCAGATTGAATTAATAGTAAATAAACCACAGCAGAAGAAAAGAGAAAACATCTCCCATTAACCTCACCAAACTTTTTTATTTGTCACTTTTTATTGCAGTGGATGTCTCAGTCATGAAGCTGAACTCGATACTTGCCTTCTTTCTCCTTCTTTACCCATATGCAGCCCTGGTAAGTTTTTCTAAAAATGATTATCTACCAAAAGACTGATTTTCTCATACAATTTGGAAACATTCACTTTGCTACACATCATAGTTAAAAATAAATGGTATGTTGCTTTTGTCACCTCTGATTCCATACCCAGTTACAGGTAGAATATTCTTCAGGTCATCTATTTGTTGCTGTAGCTATCAGATTGTCTGGTTATAAGTTTTAAAATAAAAATACGAGTTATGGGAGCCTGGCTCAAGCACTTGGCCACCTGCATGTGATCTGGGAAACTTTTGGGGGGCAGATGTGGAGCTGGCGTCGACTACAAAGAGTCTTGAAATTCATCTCATGGAGATAGAATATTATTTTCACTGTTGTTTTGAATATATATTTTTTAGATGTTCGCAAACTTGTAAGTGACTTAGATTCTAATTTTGGATCAAAACGGTAATTCGCCTCTGAAAATAAAATGAACACCCACGGTGGTTTAGCTTTCTCTGTTGAGCATGGCAGATGACTATCAGAATACGCGTGTCATTTTGGTGCAGGGAGGCAGAGCTCTGCGCAAACAGAGAGAAGCTGAAGAGAGGTTGACACCATACATTGGTAGAGTGGACCCCGGTAAGATCCAACAGCAAAACAAAGCCATGTGTGTCTGAAAAAGATGATAAAAGGGTCATCTAAGGCTAAGAATAAGCAAAGTATATTTTTTCCCGCTATTTATGTAATAAACATGTAGAATCAGAAAAAGATAACCACTTCACTTATCCCATAAAGAGGACAGCAAAAAAAGTGAAATACTGAAAAAGAAAAAAAAAATGACAAGCAGACATAAAAAATACCTATAGTCAAAGTTATTGTCTTGCTAAAATGATAAAAAGGTTATTGAGCCAAACAAGGCATTGTGTGGATAACGTTTTCCTTTAAGAAAGACAATTATCATTTTTGCTTTTTGTATCTACTCAAGAAGTGTTCATTTTTTCTGGTGTTCTGAAACATTTACCGTGTGTGCAACAAAACATAAAGAAAAGAAATAAGTGGGGTTAGGGTTACACAAATACCCTTTCTTAGTGCATGTAATGATAAAAGTTTAAAGGATATCTCCAAGTTTTGTACTTAAGCTCATGCTTACTTACAATTGGATCATTTTCAGCCTGGTTATCAGCACAAACTACTGTTTAGAAAAGTGTTGGTAATTTTTGGTGTGTTTTGTTGTTTAGAAAAAACACAATCTCAACAGAGTTTACACAAATCTTCGATCAAGAGGGGATCACCTCAAGATCCCAGCTTTTAAACCTAAGCTGTTTTGTATTTTACAAAAAATATATATGTTTGACATATTTAAAATGAAAACAATGTGTGTAAATAATAATATATACCTTGTTTACTATTTCAGAAAAGCTTTGTGAGCTGCTCAGATGCCACAGTCCTATTGGATCTTGGTGCCAAGTAGTTCAGGAAAAGGAAATTCTCACACCCAAGTGTGTGTGTCCACAGTCATGCCCACGGTAAAACACCCTGCAGTGCACTTCTTTAATATTTGGTGTCGTTTGCAAGCAAATCATTTCAATGACTTTACATTTGTCAAGCTCCCTCATGAAGAGATACGTGCAATAGTGTTCACAAACACTGACTTTTTTGTTTGGTCTAGTCATTGACTATGATTTTATAGCTCTTGAACACTTTTAGATCTATGCCATTCTTCTGCTGCTAGGGTTGTATATTTAGGGTCACAACACTGCTGGAAGATGAATCTCCACTGATTTGTCAGGTTATTGTAGACTTTCTCCCAAGACTGAACAGTATTTAGCTCCATGAATCGTGCAATAAACTCTGACCTCTTTTCTTGTTCTCACTAAAAAAAAGCATCCCCACAGCATTATTCTGCCACCGCCATGTTTCACTGTGTGGATCGTGTATTTAAAGTGATGTTTGTGTTCAAGCTTAATTTTGGCTGTATCTTTTGTTATTTTGCTCATATATAGTCAGAAGGCAAGTCTATAGACTGAATAAAAAATTAGAAATTTTAAATTAAAGGGTTGATAAATACAAATGTATGTCACAACTTCCAGATTTTACCTTGAAATAAAAAAAAAAGAACATACATTCTTTTTTGCTCACCTGAGATTATTCACTGCTCTCTGTAAACCAAGTTTGAAGTGCACACTTTGTGATCTGTGTGGGCGCTGACTTGTTCCACCAGGCAGAGGGCGCCAGTGTGCAGTGTTCTGGGAAAGACCTATGGGAACGAGTGTTTGCTTCACAAAGAAGCCTGCAGGAAGAGGCGCCGCATTGGAGTGGCTCACTCAGGACCCTGTTTGGGTAAACACGCACCACATTCAATATGAATTTCTGCAGTTCTCTCCAGCTCTCTAAATCAGCTCTCTTATTCCCTTTTATCAGTCGTCAAGAGCGAATGCACCAAGGAAGAGCTGGGCCAGTTTCCATATCGTCTTCTGGACTGGTTTCTTCTCCTGAGGCGAATGAAGGAATCGTACACACCTGCAGCTCTGCCACAAACCTGCCTCAGCCACGCCGAGAGGGCGCAGCTGGCAAAGGTCAAACTTTGTGGTTGAAAGTGACCAAAAAGCAGTAGACTCACAGAAGACCAGGAGACCTTTCTAACGCAATAAAGTTGATTTATCGTCTACGATAACATCAGCCAGCGATGACACAATGCGAATCAATATCAGCCGCGAATTGAATTACTTAAGAAACTAACACTGGAAAAACGACATGCTAAGAGATCGTTTTTGCTCCCAGTGTAACATTACTCCAAACACTTTTCTTTTTTTATTATTATTTACAACAGACATCACCGCTATGCTGTTGCCCTTTGTGCACTTGTCTTGTCTGATCGATGCTAACAACCAACTGGAAGTGGCGAGTTCTTCTGTTGCTTGTGGCCTGGTTGCCCACAAACTGAGATAGGGGCTCTCAGGAACACAATGCATAAACAGGGGTTTGGTCAATATCCACTGAATTATTCAATAAGATGAAAGAGGGGTAACTTAACAACCTCTCTCCAGCAACCCTTGATCCCCACAGTCTCACATAAATTAAATGAAAACCTGTGCATTATTTTCAGTATACGGGAAGTGATAAATGATGTAAAAGAGTAGAAGCTTTTCAAAAATTATAAAGGTTGCAGTTTAACTTACTTAGAGGTAACATCGAATAATT